AAAAACATGTGCAAATACGCGCAAAGAAAACGTGCAAAACTGTACATCAAAAAACGTTTGTTTCTACGGGCAAAATGCTGTTGCCTAGGAGTGAATGGAGCCTTAAAGGAGAACTATGGGGTCAGTGCTTTTCCCCATAGTGCTCCTAAGGGTAACGGGAGGACACAAACTAGCGTCCTCCTGTGACCCAAAGCTCAGTATACCGCGAGCTACAGCTTTGGCTCCTTCGTGAATAACCCCCTAGATATCCCATCAAGCATTGCTTCCAGCAAGTAATAAGAATGTTACTTTGTTCAGACGGGGGTCAATTCACAAAGAGAAATGTTATTTGCGCTCTCTAGTTGTTAATTTACCTCTCCATATTTTTCATTTGAAAACATGTTATTCAGGCTTCCGACTGAGGTGCGAGGGAGTTTTTATTTTTACATGTTCGACCTTTTCTTATTTGGCAACTGAAGAGTTATTTTCATGTCTTAAAATGGTAGAACACACATTTAAGGTGTTACAAGACGTTTCACTTAGGCCCCATTCCCACTAAGCAATTTATCGCGCGATTTCCGCCACGATATCGCACATTTTTGCCGCGCAATATTGTGAGAAGTCGCCGGCCAATGCTATGCAATGGAGCTGTCTTAGCTCCATGTCACCCGTCGCTGCCACTCCAGCAGGACCCTTTTTTCGGCGGATTGTGCACGATTTTTCTATTTTTTAATGGAGCCCGACGGTTGAAGGTTGAGCTACCGTCGCTGGAACTTAGCCCCGAAAGGCGCGCTATCCCGGCCGCGCGGATCCGCTGCAAAAGGTATGTCGCTTAGTGTGAATGGGGCCTAAAGCATTCTGGGATCAGAGGGGGAGGAGAACAGTGCATACAAATGATGTGTTTTCACGGTTGTATGTAACCAACTTTATTAAAACTGTTGAAGTTTACATGTTACAAGCCACTCCAAGAAAAAAAGAAAAGAAAATAATAAAAACAACAACAACAATTCATACACACACATACCACTATCTATCTATCTATCTATCACCTCACAAATCTCCTTGTCAGAGCAGAGAATACCACCAGAAAACTATCATAACGATACTCTGAAGGAGGTGCTTATGTAACGATTACCTAACAGTTGATGGCCAGAAAATCTTTGTGAATTGCACATCTGTACATATTTAACAATTAGGATTGTTAAATAAGGATTGAAATATTAAAGAACGAGTTACACAATAAAATATCACTTCTGAAAACACAGACGTCAGTTGGTGGAGAATCCAAGCCTTTGATGAATTAAACAAACCTAAATAGCGGCCGACATCAGCAAAAAAATAAAGCTTTGTGATTTGACACAATAGTCACCTACAGAGTCTAATATCTAACCTATCAGGGTCCCCCTTTGCCAGGGTCTTATCAGAAGGGAACAAAATATAAAAAAAGTCCAATCTTGCAGATACCATGAATTGTCTATTCTCCATACAGAGTTTATTGGATGAAAGCACCAAAACCACCTGAAAATTTGTGAGGTGGCCTTTACCTCTCAAATGCAGCCGAGCACTAAGGGATTTAGTATAAGCAAACTGAACTTTCCCATAAAGAAGAAAATTAATATCTTACTGTATCCTCCGTGTTAAGCTTGCTCCCCTTTATCAGTGTAAACTTGTAAGGTTCAACCAAATTCCAGACATTCTGAGACACCATCTATAAGGAAAACAAGAATATTAGAAATATGTATTTATTTTTCTGCTATAACTAGTGTCATCCTCACATGAATCATTTATTGAATTCATAGGAAGCCAATGTACTAGACACTGATGTACTAAGATTAATTAAATAGATAAATAAATGCAGAATAGCAGAGGTAGAGTAAATATGGCATACAAAGCTAGACACAGTCACTGTACAAATCTACTATAATAACCAATGTCCAATCAGACTAATAGATAATTGATATGAATGTGAGTACTTATAGCTAGGGTTGCACAGATACCAAGTACAGTACTCAGTACAAGTACGAGTACATGTATCGATACTTTTGAGCTCGAAGACTAGACTAGAGAAAAATCCAAAAGTTAGGAGGCCGCTGTCATTTGTAAGGAGCACACGGAGCTCCTGGGATTTGTACATCTCCGTTTTAATGTACGATTTTGTTTTTATAAATATAAATAAAGTGATGCACAGATACCAGTTTTGCGAGTAC